AGATTGAGAATCCCACTGTGGTCCTTGAACACAGGTCATGCCATATGTAAGTGTGGTGGGGTCTATAAATCAGCCGGGCTTATTAACAGCTCATTAAGTCAGTATTTTTTATTTGTCTGGTGTGCGCTAGACGTTAATCAAACCCCCTGATGAATTATATCCTCATGACTTGCTGCTGAAATGCTGCCAGCACCTGGCATGACACAACTTAACTACTCTCTACCACGAGCCAACTGCTTATAATCTCTGGACAGTCCCATAAAAAATGTATGCGGCTGTTTTCAACGACGCTTTGACACCTGCCGGGACAATGACCTCCCGACGACATCGCTGATGCAGTTACTTGCCCCTTTGTTGGGATATAATTGCCTCGGAGAGCTTTTCACCTGACAGCTCTTTTATTCCATGGCCCACCTCTTCCCGCTCCCTCCCCCAACACCTTTCCATCAGTTTACCGGTTGCTGTTTAGATCACCTCATTCACTTTCCATCCTCAACATCAATTTATATTTGTGCGGCTCTCCCTACAGACTGCTCGAAGTCAGACAGATGTGAAGGGAGACTGCACCAAAGGAAGAATTCATAAATTCTATGCTTGTGCAGTTCGGAATAAAACTGCACGAGTTGCATTTTGCTTTATGAAAGGGCAAAGACCAAGCCTGAACTAATTTCAGTTTAGTCTCATGGCGAAAAGTCTGGTCCTCATTGCACCTTATTGTGGCCAAGAACAATCTATTTGGACAGAAGTCTGCCTGAATTCAGAAAACAAAACAGAATGTTCAGTTTTGTTCATGGATATCCAGTTCATTTGAAACCTCAAACAAAAATCTGATGCCATTAGCCTTGCAAACTTTGGCAAATACAAGAGTTCTTTATCAAAAGTGCTCATTATTTAAACCTGCTAGCTTCTGAACACAACTTCAGCGGACTTATTAAAAAAATGATTGGACATCACTCCGACATAATGGCCAAAAACAACAATTATCTATGTCCAAGCGCTTTGGAATAAGAATGGATACAGATGTTGCTGATGCTATGACAGTAAAAGGAATACTAAATGGTATCGCAAATGTAGAGGTTTTCTTTAGTTATAGTGCCCCCTAGCATTGGAAAATAACCGGTTTATATATTTAAAATGATTTGCAGAATTGTCAAACTTTTTGTCATGAGGGTTTTTACATGATATGAATCAAATTAAAAACATTATATGTCTATGGAAATTTAATAAAAATAAACACACTACCGTTCAAATGTTTGGGGGCAGAAAGATTTTATTTTGAAAGAAATTACAACTTTTCATCAAGGATGCATTCAATTCAATTAATTTATTACATTATAAAAGAGTTCCATTTCAAATAAATGCTTTTCTGTTGAACTGAAAACTGGAGTAATGGCTGTTGGAAAATTTAGCTTTGCCATCACAGAAATAAATAAAATTTTTAATAAATTAAAATAGAAACAGTTACTTTAAAATGTTATAATATTTCAAAATATTACATTTTTTTGTTTGTTTGTTTGTTTTTGGTGAGCATAAGGGACTTTTGAAAACATTCTTAAAAATCTTACCAACCCCAAACATCTGAACAGTATAAAAGAATAACCCATACAAAAACAATAGGTTTCCTGCACCTTTGGCGTATAGACCTCAACACACACCCAGCAAATCAGATCAAAAGTGTGGATTTCAGTCAGAGCTTGCCATTTTTGTGTGCAATATGCATCAGATGGTCAGTGATCAGGCTATGGGAGGTCTGCGGGCATGCCATCTGAGGATAATTTCAGTTTGACATGAAACAATATTACTCCTATTACATTGCAATGAAAACGTGTCGGACGGAGTAACTGGAATTTGGATAGATTTGATTAAGCAGCTAATTACAAATGTGTATGGATTCAATTTCCTCTGCGCCAAAGGAGGGCACTCATCCAGAGCCCTCACACATGACACACACATAATAAGTTTGAAAGCGTTGACATCGATCACCTTGAAAACGAGATGAAGTTCTATTAGCTGAGCACTGGATCGCAAAAGAACAGAAAAGACAGAAACGGGGAGAAGGACAGGGCTCATCGTGCTCATGCTGGGGGCGGCATTTTGGTAACATAAATTACACGCTTTCCTTCCTGTGCCTCCTGCCACCCTGAAAGGATAAAACGATCCATTAATCTGTCATTACCTGTCAGGAAACTGGCAGGCAGTGACAGCATCTGCCGTCAACCCCCGCCCACCCTCTTTCAGGAGAGGCACCTGAGAGGTAGAAGGTGGGCTTATCGGGGGCCAAGCTGTGGGACTCTGGCTCTGGGGCTTAACCATTTGACACTGCTGCCAGATTACTCACATTCAGGTTAGATCACTAATAACATAATGCACAAATTTCATGCCTTTCAGCTGAAAGCAGAGATGATCAGATTGTTTTTGGCTTATCTGTTTTTATTCCATTTTTTGGATAGTTCAATGCATTAGGCATTTAAATCCATGCAGGAAAAAATTGTTGAAAAAATGTCAGGCACTGTCAGTTTGAATTTTTTAAGCGTATACAGATAAACAAGCTAAAAAAAAGCGTGTTGTCGTTTGATTTATCTGGTCATACACACTTCTGTACGGTTATCAAGTGTATAGACTTCCAATTAGTGCATGGGTTATCAGAACTCACACCACGTTTGCCTGGCATAACTTTCTATAATATGTCACCAATAGTAAGATAGCATAGTTAAAACTAAAAACCCCAATTCAAACACACCTAAACCACACCTAATGACTTCTGTTTCAAATTCTGAACTTTCGATTCATCAAAGAATCCTGAAAAAAAGTGTTTCACAGTTTCTGCAAAATTAAGCAGCACAAGAGTTTTCAACTTCGATAATAATGGTAAGAAGAAGAAATGTTTCTTAAGAACTAAATCAGCATTTTAGAATCATTTCTGAAGGATCTTGTGACAGAAGACTGGCTGATTACAATTCAGCTTTGACATAACAGGAAAAAAAATTACATTTCAAAATATATTAAAATAGCTATTCTAAACTATTTTACTATATTATTAATCAAATAAATGCAGCATTGGTGAGCATAAGAGATTTAAAAAATTTTTTTTTTAATTACCTGACCTACCATAAACTACGAACTGCAGTATATAGCCAATATATACACGATATCAATTAATACTAATAAAAAAAAAAATAATAATATTCCCTAGTTAACACTAGTTATTGTACCAATATACTTTGCATCCCTATAGTCACTATCATTTGTTTATTGCTGCAGAGATGATCTACAGTTTCAGAAAAGTATGCCACATCCTCCAAAACCTAGCACTAATAATAATATTCCCTAGTTAACACTAGTTATTGTACCAATATACTTTGCATCCCTATAGTCACTATCATGTTTATTGCTGCAGAGATGATCTACAGTTTCAGAAAAGTATGCCACATCCTCCAAAACCTAGCACTCAAAACCAACCCACAACAAAAGGAGTTGCACTGTGCAAATTGCTTTCAGCACTGATTTTGTGGGTGCGTTTGCAGAGTTACGTGATAATGCCACTATTTTGCAAAGTGAATCAGGTGCTAAAACTATGCATATAAACGATGCTATCAATTGGCGTAGTTCATTCGCAAGTTCACCCGCATTGTTTCACTTTAAAGAACTAAACTGCTCGTCCACAGAACACAGCAGACTGACTAACAAATGCCCAATTAAATATTTATATCCTCTTATGTAACGTCAAGGTTTGGTTATAAGCAATGAGAAAAAGTGTAGGTGTGACGATTCGTTATATGGACTGATATTTGTCAGATATCTTTAGTATGAATGACAAGGAAATGTCAGTTTCCTCAGTTTCTGAAACCAAAACACAAAACAGTATTTTGGCTTTTGCCAAGAGATGTACCAGACTATATAGCAGAAAACATGACAATATCCATGTGCACAAGCCACTTCACCCCCTCCTTACGGAGAAATCCAATCTAACATCTCATGTTATTTTATAGAGAGGTAGGCCTATTATTTTCACAGATAAAACCCCAGTGACAGAGCTATCCTTCACCACTGATGATTGCAGCTTATTGCTGTGAATCAGTACAGAAATATTTTCCTAAGAGCTTTCCTCTTGGCACACTCTTCACGAGGCTGTGGTATTTTTAGTTACTCAAGTGAATCACTAGAATCAAAGGAGAGAACTGGCAAACAATGAAAACTTCACAAAATGCTATGGAAATGCTGCACAGATTCAATGCAAGCTTTGTAAACAACGTGTAGGTTAATGTTGATTATCACAGAATTTTTTTTGTGATAATTTGTGATAATTAAATAAAAAGAAAGGACAAAGAAAAATGAAAAAAAAAAAAAAATGAAATCTGGGCCAGCAAAGTACTAAGGGGTTTCAGATGTGTTCAAAATGTGAAGACAATTTTATATATATTTTTTTAATATATATTTTATTTTTTCATAATTTTTAGTACACTAGGCCTCAAAGGTTTAGGGTCAGTAAGTTTTTTTTTAAAGAAATATATGTTTTTACTTGGTGAAATTAATGACTTTTACATTTTTACAAAAAATTATATTTATAATAAATGCTGTTCTTTTAAACTTTGTATTCAAAGAAAAAAACACTGTTTCCAGAAAAAAGTAATGTAGACGTACAACTGTTTTTTATCATTTATAATAATAATATGTTTCCTGAGCAGTAAATCAGCATATTAGAATAATTTCTGAAGGATCATTTGACACTGAAGACTGGAGTAATGGCTGCTGACAATTCAACTTTTCCTTCACAGGAATAAATATATTAAAAAGAAAACAGCTATTTAAAATTGTAATAATATTTCACAGTATTACTGTTTTTAGTGTATTTTTGATTTCTTGGAGATCATTTTTGTTCAAAAACATTAAAAGACCTTACTCCACATTTCCAACAATCCTGTAATCCAGACTATAAATGCATCACTGCATCAAAAAAGTGACCAAATTGAAATAATTTGTATCTTCTCTCTCGTTTATAGACAGATTGCTCCAGCGACAGTGAGAGCGAGGACAACTTCATCGTCATCCCTCCTCGTGATCACCTGGGCCTCGCTATCTTCTCCATGCTCTGTTGCTTTTGGCCTCTGGGCATTGCTGCTTTCTACTTTTCTCAGGGGGTAAGTGCAGAGCCCACCAACCAAATCCACAGCCTAACCATTAAGCCTGCTAAGAATCTGCTATAACACAAGAGACAGACTAGATGAATTCAACACTTTTTCACCTGTGTTGAATTCACTTTTTCACCCTGCAAACAAGCCTGTAGTCTCATGAGATAAAGAGTTTGTGATCCCTTTCTGCTCCTTCTAATAATACAGAACAGGTGCCTCATTATAATACCCATCATACGAACAAACAGCTCTCCTTTGTGTGACTGTTAAATTATCATGCACTTCTCTAATATAAACAGTGTAAACATGAATCCACAGATCAGATTGGTGTGACGAGCATAGGCCATGTTTTCAGCTCCATTTTCACATTCAAAGCAATAGATATTCTATTTTTCTACTTTGTAATGAGCCTTTTTATACTTAGCTATGGTTTAGTCTGTGGTAGACACGGCCAGAGTGAATTGTTTTGTCAGGAGCTAAGTGAATTATCCCAGAGTAATTATAATGATGGTGGTGTTGTTCAGTGAAGGTTCTCCAGAATGCAACTTCAGTGTGTGTGTGTGTGTGTGTGTGTGTGTGTGTGTGTGTGAGGAGGATGGAAATGAGATCTGCTGAAAATGTGAATGTTTTTGTCCTGTCTCCTGGCTGGGAATATTCCTCCGAGAACATACTGAACGGATTTTCTCACCTTCCCCGCGGCACAGGGTTGAATGTTCATGAGGAATGTCGCCAACCATTTGCCTCCAACTCCTCCTTCCTCTCAGCATCTACCTCGGTCTCACTCCTACATACTGAGAAAGTGACTTTGTCTTCATTTTCTAACTAATTAAGCACTTGGAATTGTATAGGACTTTGAAGATGTTGATATAAATATCAGTATTAGTTCTACAAAAGGCCATTACACATACAGTAGCTGTAGAATGTAGGGCAATGTAGAAATTATCTGGATAGTTTTCAGTTTTTTGGTTATATTCGATCACAAACTTTATTTATAATCTTAAATGGTGGTGATTTGAAAAGGTAAAATGATCCATCATTCTGTTAGAACTTTATCAAAATTTTAATTAAATTTAGAAGCACCAATATAACAACTGCATAGAAATCAAAGTGATAGATAGATAGATAGATAGATAGATAGATAGATAGAAGCATCAATTTATTAATTAATTGAAACTGACAGTTTAAGTAATTAATTTTAATGTAATAGGGCTGCACGATTATGACAAAAATCATAATTTCCGATTATTCCCTTGAAATTGTAATTGCGATTATTCATTACGATTATCACAATTTAAACAAGCTGAAAACACTAACTGAAACACTTTTATTGCTTTTCTATAGTACTAAGCCTCAAATGTCATATATACATTGGTTTGGTTTCTTCTTTAAATAAAATAAAAAAATTATTTGTATTATGTTATATTAAAATTAAAATTAAAACCATGGAAAAACTCTTACGATTAGTGGTCGACCGATATATCGCCAAGGCCGATAAAAGTTTTTCTGCTTGGCCTATGCGTTCGAGCCGGGACTTTTATTTTGACGGCGCTGAGAGCGGCAGCGCTTGAGTACACGGTGCTCACATTCTCCCTCTTGTTCGCCGTCATCGTTAACAGTTTTGTCTAATACGGATAGAAGTCTGTCTAATAAACCGATAGAACTGTTAAACAAAGGAATTAAAATGTATACAAAAAGTATTAAGCTACGCTTTATGCATTTGCCCACTGCCATATTAATGTCATTTTCACTGCGTGCTGTATGTAAAATGAGTGTTACCTTGGCTTTATTTGAAAAAATATGATTCCCAATGCACACAAATTTCCCAGAACACTGAGTGCTGTTGGTTACAGTGTTTACTTCCTTTTTAATTATATTTTTATTAAATATTTATTTGTGAAAAATACTTT